GATATAATCGGCTATAAACAACGACCAACTGCTGTTTGACAACACCCCCATAGTAAACCGAAATGAAAGGTAAACAGTTTCTCTAAATTTGAGTTCTTGGTTATATGTTAAACCACAATTGATGGCAATGATGTCCAAACTAGCTGTTTTACATCAATAGATTTTTCTTGTGCAAATTTCAACACATGTTACTTTTGGATTGAGGCTTATCATTAGTTACTTCTTAGTTTCTTTGTTTTCGCTATGTGCTAATTAATTAGTAGAAATATTACTCCAAAATCGAGTTCGGCTCGATTTTATGATAGTGGTGTTCGTGTTTGGGCTAGAAGCACGACGAGCTTTATAAATGAGACTCGGGCTCAACTGGTCCGATGTTCGATTTGAGTGCTACATAACCTCGATAAGTATAAAAATAGGAACTCAGTTTATGCTCACTAAATGGGCTCATTCTTGATTTACTCAACAAGTGCTCAGATTTAATAGTTAAATTTAGAGTTGATAAATTATACCAAGGTCTTTTAGCCTTTAACCTATATATAATTTGCCCTTATAATTTATAGGTGTGTGGCATGCTTGAACGGGACACTACTCTGTTCGAGCTTGGTTCAAATAAAAATTTGAACTTCAAAACCGGTTCGTATTTGAGTTGGAAGCTCGCTAAGCTCGGTTTGTTAAGTCCGAGATTGAGCACAAACACTTCAAAAAAAGCTTATTTCGTTAACCACCCTACTAAAAAAGAGTGCTCTGTGATATTGTGAGCTCGAACATTGGTCATTTTTGTCGATTTTAATGAGTTGACCACAAGGTTGCACGTCAGATAGATAGAAACAATTTAAAAGCAGCATAGTTATTTGCAAGAAATATTTTCATACAATGCAAGTTTTAGTAAATGTGTTTAATACATACTTACATATGCGTTTAATATATTCTTCTTCATACTGATTGTAGTTTAAGTACATTTGCATTTAATTATAAGCTTATCAAATGATTTCTACATACTCTAAATTCATTCAGTTTGTCTTATTATTGTGTACTTATATCCGTCTTCTGACAGTGAGAGCACATTGAATGCAGTTTTAGAAAATAATTTTTAAACAATTTCATTCGACATATTGATGCTATATATTAGTTTTATCTCCTGACTGACCTTTTTCTTTGTGTGTTTTTAGAAATCTGAGAACATGATGTCAAAACCACAACCAAAAGAAGAGTAGGGAATTAAGCCAGTCAACTAGACAAGTAAACTGGTTTCTGTTGTACTTCTTTTCGTTGCTAATAAAATTGCCTGCGTGCTTTCCTGAAAAAAAGAAGTAAAAGTGAACCTATTTTCATTGTATATAGTTATTATGTACTTGCTTATATTTTATGGTTTCAAAGGCAAGGGACCTATAAATTATGACATTATGTGATAGAATTACTAATTATAACCAATTATGTTGAGACACCATATATTGGTAAATAGAATACTGGTTTGCCAATTATAATGTTCAAGGTCATCACGGATAAAATACTTGATTATAGTTCAAAAGGAGGAAAACTTGAAACCAGAAACAAGTTTCAAGACACTAGGAACTCATTTGAAGAAAGAAGGAAGAGAAAAGAAATCAACGAAAAAATCAGTTGGCACAACAAAGAACTGTCTTACCAGTCCACTGATTTCAACAGTCAAAACATGCCTGCTGAAAAATCAACAAGCTGAAACCAAAATACCTAGACAAGTCTGGAATACCAAAAGTCCAAAAACCATTGATAAGTCCATATCTCAACACACATTCGATGCGTGTTGAGATCGGTTTTGTTATGTCTCAATCCAGCTCAAGTCTCGTCAATTTACACCCACAATTCCCACAAAGGACGAAAAACTACCACTAGGATCACAAGGGAAGGTTGTGGGCAACAACCAACAAGGTTTTCCGGCCAATTCAGTCCGAGCACCCACAGAGGAGCTATAGGTGCGAATTAGGGGGAGGAGCAAGGGTTCGGCCAGCAAACTCCATCAGCAGAAGGGAGGTGATTAAATAGGCGAGGCTCATATTCATAAAGATGGTAATTACCATACAGAGAGATTCCGTAGAGCTCGTACAAGGAAAGATAGGCTAGGAATGAACCAGGGAAGCGGAAGAATGCACACATAAGAGAGAGGCTTGAGCGAATCAAAAATCCTATTAAGACATGGGCCGGGTGCAACCGTGCAACAACAAGTAAATTGGACTTATGGAAACCAGGCCAATACCAACACATTCTCCACCTTATTGGACCCTAGTGGTGTAGAATCAAAAAACTCTAAAACATATTTGAGACTCATCATCGCCGGATTGTCTGAATGTTCACAGAGACACATTCAGGCAAAAGAGGTAAGATCACCAGACAACTTATCCGCAATCAATGTTTAACGTGCGTTTGCACGACAACAGTTTTTCGACAGAGATACATTTAGTCCCCATGTCAGCAGGATTAAACTTAGATGGAATTATCAACTTGATATGACCTGCACTAACAATATCACGTATAAACTGAAATCTAACATGCTTAGTTCTATCATGAAAAACAGGGTTTTGCACAGTTGCATAGCAGATTGACTATCAGAAAACACATAAATGTCCCCTTAAGACCACCAACCTCCGTTAGGAGACGCTTAAGCCAAATGGCTTCCTTAAACGCTTCGGTAGCGGCCACATACTCAGGCTTCGTAGTGGAAGGGGCAACTATGGGTTGAAGTTGAGACTTCCAACTAATGCAAGAGACCCGGAAAGAGTAAATACATAAGAGGTAGTGGATCTCATGTTGTCTCTATCGTTAGCAAAATTAGAGTCCACATACCTACTCAACTTAACACCCTCAGAACGCCCCACATACCGGGGGGCGTAACTCATCTGATAGGAATGGAGTGCCACAAGGGAGAGGTCTCGGGTTCAACTCTAAGCAATGTCTTGGGATGGAGCCCCACTCTCTTTCCATTAAAGTGAGATCAAAGCTCAATTTACATCTTCCCTGCTAGCTATCTGGTCGGTGCTGGGGGCCCTCAGGGATGGGGTGTCATCCTTTCTCAGAAGGCCTAGTGAAAACCAACCCATGATTAACAATAGATTTCAAGTACCTAAGCAACCACTTAAGAGCATTCCAATGGTCTAAACTGAGGTTAGACATATACCCACTCAAGCAACTAACAACATAGGCAATGTCGGGTCTAGTACTCACCATGAGATACATCACGGACCCAATAGCATTGGAATAAGGCACATATTTCATTTTAGCAATTTCAGGAGCAGTCTTGGGAGACTGATCCTTACTTAACACAAAGTGAGACGCCATAGGGATAAAGACAGGAGTAGCAGAATGCATGTTATATTTGCTCAAAATCTTTTCAATGAATGAAATCTGATTGAGTACTAACACGCGTTTACTCCTATCTCTAACAATGTTAATGCCTAAGATCCTCTTGACATCACCTAGGTCTTTCATTGCAAAATTCTCGCTGAGACGTTTTTGCACACATTTAATGGCGTCACCAAAGGACTAATAATCAACATATCATCCACATATAACAATAAAAATACAGGCACAATCAGACTTGTGGAATTTCAAAGTATAAGCAATGGTCACTATCAGACTTGTGGAATTTCAAAGATGACATGCACTGGTCAAACTTGATATTCCACTGCCTAGGGGACTGCTTCAGGCCGTACAAGGCCTTCCTAAGAAAACACACATGATCGCTCTTCATGGGATCCACAAAACCCTCAGGCTGGGACCAAATAAATTTTCTTATCTAAATCACCATGCAAGAAAGCAGTGGTAACATCCATTTGCTTCATTTCGCAATCATTATGAGCAACAAGAGCAAGCATCTTTCTAATCGTAGTAACTTTAACTACACGAGCAAAGATTTCAGCATAATCAACAACACCTTCCATTTAAGTAAATCCCTTAGCTACAAGCCTAGCCTTATATCTAATGTCGTTAGGCTCTTTCTTAACCTTAAATAGCCAGAGGTCAAAGGTCATGGGACGAAGGTTGTGCAGGGACGGGAGACAAATGCTTGGTCTCCAGCGGCCGAATGTTGTGCAGGGACGGGAGACAGATGCTTGGTCTCAGGCGGTCAAAGGTCATGGAAGAAGCATGGGGCTAGTGGCTGGAACAGATCTGGAGTCGAGGTCATTCATGTTAGGTGGCGATAGAGGAGGTTTGATAGAAATCATGATGAAAAAGAGTCAGGGTGAGGAAGAAGCTACAGTATTGTTGGATCGCCCCCTCCTGAACCGCCGCCATGGAGTGCATGAGAGTCTAGGGTTTGGAAGCAGCTTTTTAATTGTACTGTTTGTTTGCGATTTATTTTTCATAATCAGATTGTTTATTTTTCCGTTGGTTACTTTCATTGTTGTAAGACTCTAGCATTAGGATTGGGTGATGAGAGGTCTGTTTTAACCGTTGTTGGCTCATTTATGCCCATATAAGATCAGCGAGTTATATTGTTTTTTTTAAGGTGATTGACTCTAAGTCTAGTTCGAGGACTGACGGTTGCCTGTGGTCTTTTTGTCGTTTTACTCCCTATTTGAATGTTGTGATATCAATTTAAGTCCCTTCTTCCCAAAAAAATAGATTGATCAAAGTGCCAAAGTGAAGATCTTATTATTAAAATACCGAGTATTTTGTTTGCATCTTTCAATTGTTTTTTTTAATTGGTCTAAAATAATAACAACAAACTTAAACTCAGAATTTCTTTATTTTTACATCTGAATGTTTGACTTTTCAAATCATAACTATTCACACAAAAATTACAAAAATGTAACTTGAGCCGCCGCCGCAAGTTTTTCTTCCGAATTCGATCTTCCTTCGATCGAGTTTCGGCCGTAGTTTGTTTGTTTTCTATTATTCCTTTGTTTCAATCAATCGAGTTGTTCAAGTTCTAGTCAAGCACGTTTTCTCTCTAGGGTTTCGACTATGTCGGCCGCTGGAGCCTTTTTCCGATTTCGACTTTGTCGAAGATCGGTTTTGCTATCCCTTGGTCGCTGGTACTCGGCTGGAGTCCAGGTCAGACGCGGAGGGCAGAGATTGGTGGAGGAAGGCGGATTTGCTGTCATGGCTCGAGGAGATAGGCACTGTGGTCAAGGCTCGAGGATGCAGCGTTGCTGTCGTCGTTGGAGAAGATTGGCGCTGCCTATCCGTTTACTCCGGTCGCACGGAGCAGGGATGAGTCTGGTTTTGCAGGGACGGAGGATTGATGCACGGTCTTTGGCAGCCAAAGGTCATGGAGGATCAATTAGCATGGTACCGGTGGTACGACCTTCTCCTGAACCACCACCATGGGATGTACGAGGTGCCAGAGTTCGCGAAAGCTTTTCTTGTAGTTTTTATCTGTTTGTTATTCGTTTTCTAGTGTCTATTTTTGTTGTTGGCTTTGACAGTTTGTTTGAGTTTTTTGCCTCTCTTTATGTCATTGGGTATAGTTCGATCTATGGGAAGAGGTTTGGCTGTGTCAAGTCCACTACATGGTTAGCGATTCGTGTTGCTCTCTCAGGGGTGACCGTCTCAAATTCTTGTTTTGACAATTCATAATGATCCTGAATCTTTTGATATGAATAGAGGCCTGTTTGATGATTAAAAAAATTACTTTATTAGAAAAGTGGAAAAGTTGTTTGCTACAATTAAAAGCGATAGTTGACAAAGTCCAATGTCATTGATGGAGTACGTATATAATAATAAAAGTAATGCTTTAATAAATACTACTACATGAAGGTTCCACTGCAAGGAAGAAGGCTCACCAGCAGACTTCACCAAAATTTGGCTAAGTCCACAACTACAAGCCTCGGCATTACCTCTCCCAGGAGCCTTCAGCCTCAAGGAGGGCACAAGAGTCTTGAACCCTCATGCCGCACGGAAGCTTTCGGTCCCAAAAAAAAAACTTTGTTTGATAAATAAGATCGAATATAAAAATCACATTTCCATTCAAGACAAATTTGTAATAAAATCCAAAGATTTAGAATAAGAAACTTGTGTTATTTTAAGAAAATTACTAAAAAGAAGATTAGAGCTAAGGCATTGAAAAACTGAAATTATAGACACTTTCACAATTTAGGTATTTTTAGATTATATTAACTCATAAATTAAAAAACAAAAATCAAAAGGGGGTTATATTGACTCATATATCATACATTTATAGCAATAAGTAACAAAATTGATTGGCACAGGCTATGCATATTTATCATGAATTACAGCAATAAATAACAAAATAGTAGTAGTAGGTCTATAATCTTTAGCATCTTTCATTTCTTTTACATATTTTTTCACATTGCTTCTATGTTTTGTTTCTTTTTTTATTAATACACGAAATTAAAAATATTAGGACATATTCCCCTTGGAGTAAATTGTAGGGTGTGTTTCGGAAAATAAAGAAAATTAATTAAAATAAATTAATTAAAATGATGAAAGAAAACAGAAATAAGATGGAGCAGAAATTAGTCAAAGCTCGTGCTACGCACGATGTCCTTAAAACGTATTTGTTGCCTCCCATGGTGCTAGGAGCGTTGCAACAATCGTTTCTCAATACACGATGACTATGAACTAATGTTTGAGCACACAAATAAGAGTTCCAGCGAACGAGAACACAGTATGAACACTTAGGAAATTTTCAGAATGCTGGAGGTGTTTTAGAGCTCAGAAATACGTGAGGAATGTATATGAACGTGTGTATCAACCTGTGTTGTTGCAAACCACCTACCAGCCTTTATATAGGAGGATTTGTTGTGTATAAATGGTGAATTAATGGACCTGAACGTTGGACATCAATGACCAGTCCGTTGGGCATTGAATCGTCCATGAACTGTCCATTTAACGCTGCATTAAAAGATAAGAATGTTGGACATTCAATGTTGTAATGGTTCAGAACGCGACCAGAAGACCTCCCAATAGAACACCTTACGAGGTGTTCTGTCGGAAGCCAGCAGAACCCCTACGAGGGCTTCTGTCCGGAGCCACCAGAACACCATACCGATGTGTTCTGTTCGAGGCCTTCTGTCCGGAGCATTTCTGCCGCTAGACACTTCTGTCACTGGGAAAAAAATGTTTCGGGAAGAAAACAAAAATTAACCGTATCTCTTGAGAGATAGATTTTTGGACGACATTCGTGCCCGCAGGTCGCCCGCGCACGCAAGTCGCGGTTTTTCTTCTCTGATTTCGGGATTTGATTTGCACCCCCCTGCGCACGTGGAGAGAACCTTTACCCTAAGGAATCTTAACTCCTTAAGGGGGGGAGTCCCTTTATAAAGGGTTGCAAATTCCTTGGATTTTCCGGTGTGGGAAATAACACACTAGAATCAATTTTTCATTCACCCGTTATTCGTTTTGAGCGTACCATATATCAAATTGTAGTCCTTAACAAGGACAATCCGAACTCACTTTGACCCGACCCAAATCGGAAGTGGACCCCACTCAAAAATTGCCCCAAAATTACTATTTAATGCAATTTTTCACACATTTTTCCAACATAAATTTGTATCACATTTCACTTCCTATCTACTTACTTAATAATAAAGTACAACCTTATTAATAATTGTTATTGAGTACAATTCACCAATTATCTAATTGCTATCAAGTACAAAACAACCTTTCATATAGAATTATCTAATTATATATTTGCCACTAAGCACAAAACAGCCTTTCATCACACATTCAATACTTTTCATCAACAATAATTTTACATTCCATATATATTCAATCTCATTCCATACTTATGTCACCGTAAGCGCATAAATTTATTTGATCCTAGAGTGCACAAATTCCTATACAAGTAATTGATTCCGGTTATAAAAAAAAGTGCATTGATTCCGTGCAAACGTGTTTATAGATGCAAAATGTGTTTATATATAAAGTTTGTAAAACATATAATTCAACACCTTAGTCCTTACCAATGTTAAATTATAATTACAAATTTTTTCCCGATGTACCAAAATAAAGTATAATCACATATTAATATAGGAAAAACTGGAAAATAATTCCAACTATTTATTATTCTTGGGTAGTCCGAACTATAGATGTCTACATAAAAATATGGCATTAGTATTACCTAATACACATAACACGTCACTTTGATTACTAATATATATTTCGCTATAGGTAAAAAAATGAAAAAAAATTGAGATTCTGGAAATTTAAACTGAAACGAGTTGAGCAATTTTTTTTTAAAACAGTAATACATACATTAATGTGTAATGCATTAATAAATAACATATAGGGGGTGTTTGGATCTGATTCTCAAAACTGATTCTGCTCTTTCAGGGAGCAGAAGCAGAAGCTGGAGTGTTTGGGTGAAATTCCAGAAGCACTTCTGGAGCTCTAATTTACTCTCAGAATCAATTTTTTTAGAAGCTGGTACCCCCCAACTTCTAAAAATAAAATATTTTTAGTCATTTCTTGATTTTTTCACTAATATTTTATTTTTTTCCTTTTTTTAAATTTGGTTTTCCCAATTTTGATACAAACTTATGATTTTGTATTATTTTACTTTATTCAAATTTATATTTTTGTTTTCAAAAAGTAAATTGCGATTAAAGTTTTTACGATTTAGAGCTTTATTCTAGCTATTTTTCATGAAAATATATCTTAATATTTGATGCTATCTTAATACTCAAAATATAAATTTTCTATTTTTTTCATTTTAGCATTTATAAATTCTTTCTATTTTCTTTAGTCTATATCAATATATTCTATAACTTATACTGCGTATTATATAGTTTATCCTTTAATTTTAGTGATTTGGGGTATATGCTTCAGAGATTTTGGCTATTTATAATGAAAAGGTATTAATATTAGACTATTAGTACGTCCATCCCGTTTTTTTTTTGAAAAGTCGACATTTTTTAACAACCAATTTTAAAGTTTAATCCTACATATTGGTAATATAATTAATTCAATTGTGACCTTGTAGAGAAGATACATTCTTCTGAATATCTTAATAACATTAAATATTTCTGATGGCTTCGCCGACTCGGGGTAGCATAAATCGAGAGGAGAGACTGAAAAGTGCTAACTGTAGATTGAATAAAAAATTTGGCAGAGTCAAAGTAAGCTTGTGCGCAAGGATGACATCCTTTTCCACAAGTTAGAAGGTGATATTTATAGGGGATATCCCGAGATAGAAGTAAAAATGTTTGAAAATTTCAAAATAGGACTGTCATGTTTTTAATTCCTAAATATGATTAATTACTGTCAAGTTTGAAAAATACTGCCATGTTTATAGTCCGGTACTGCCAAAATATGACAATAATTACTTCTATTTAGGGAATAAAAACATAATAGTCCTATTGTAAAATACACAAACATTTTTAGTCCTATTAGAGCAATTTTCTTATTTATAGTGTAAAAGGAAATACTTCCGCAACCAGCAAAATATGTTAGTCTAATAATACAACGACACATATAAAGCTTGATCGGTAAGACAATAGGTACATCTGCCAATAATGTGGCCTCAGCTTGCCAATAATGTTTCCTTTAGTTCATTGACTTGACAAAACACTAGTTGACCTCAAGCTCGGATG